ATTCTCTTTATTCTCTAATACCTCAACAAAAAGGAAAGGCGATAAACTGTTCCCCGAAAAAACCTCAGAGGCTGGGTGTGTAAGTGAACATACGGGGATTCTATTGGATAAGAGCAGGTAGATTAGCTTTTCTAATTATTTTCCAGAATATTAAACTGGAATCTCTATACCTAACATCCCAACCTTGAGGGAGGTCAGCGGTCTTGGAGACAGTATATCTTGGCTTTGGGAATTTGGTGACTTGTATACACACTAGTACACAAGCTGGAACACGAATACATAAGTGCATAAGATAGTACATAAACTGGAAGACTAGTGAGTTTGAGTTGAGGTACTTTTAAGTCAAGATGTTGGATCCAAGTATAGGATGCAATGTAAGCAGCCTCCTTCTTGGACTCCATGATACAGAAAGCCAAATGATTTGTAAAACCTCTGCCATCTTTGGAATCACCTCTAGGCAAACCACCCATACACGCATGAACACGCATGCACACACACACACAGCATGGGCCAATATACTGCCCATTTCTCTGTGTCACAGGGACCTAAACTGCTTCTTACAAACCAAGGGCTGTCAGCACTTCCTTCTCACAGGTAGGGGAGCCTAATATTCTGTCAGCTAGTAGAAATGGTATATTCAAGATTAGGTAAATGGTAATTAAGTACACTTTATAGAGCATTTGCTATATAGTGCACACTGAGGATTCCACAGGTACCATCATTTATACATATGCATGCAATATTGGAAAATTACTCATTCCCTCTAGTAGGCCAAAGTGGACATAGGACATAAATTAAACAGCAATAGAGAATACCATTGACATTGGTCGCAAAGAATCTCAGATAATTATATATTTATGGGATAAGGCTAATTTTATGGCTAAATGGTCAGGACTGAAAAATTATGAGTGTCGGGCATTGGTTTAGGAAAAAATTGGACTCATTGTTAGCTTTCATTTAAATCCATAGACAGATACCAGAGAAATAAAGGATAGGAGGCATATAAAATAATGCTGCCAATTTTGCACGGCCAAATACAGGTGGTGAGCACATCTTACCTCAAAGCAGAAGTTATGGCACTCTTTTAACTACTTGAGATTTGAAATAGTACCAAGGATGGTAAGTCAATGGGATGGTCTGCATTATGTCACAATAACAAAACCCCTGATCTCAGAAGTTTAAAATACCGTAATTTTCACGCAGAAACGTATTGACTAGAACTAGTTACACGGCCCCATCCAACCACAATGGTGCCATAAAATAGGTCTATCCCATTCTATCCCAAATGGGATAGAACTCAAATATTTGCAAATAGCACCACAGATGGCATGTTTGTGATCTGAGGCAGCATAGGCACTGGTATGGCAAATCACTTCGATGCCAGCAAAGGAAGTCAAAACAAGGAATGTATCTGAGATGAAAACAGGCAGAATTTCATAAGAAAAATAAATAGGTGCTTGCCAGTGGAGAGGCCTAGAGGTACTATTTAGGGTAGATACCTACTAGAACGTTAATTTTCATATACAATGGTAAGGGCCATAGCTGAAGTAAATTTCAGAGAGCTCTAGACCAGCTTTCTCAAACTTTAATGTAAATCCATTAAAGTACACCTAGTGTACTTGTTAAAAATGTAGATTCTTACTCAACAAGTCTGAGGTGGGGCCTGAGAACCTGCATAACTAAGAAGCTCCCAAGTCATGTAGATGCTCCTGGTTCTCTGATCACTCTTTTGAGTAGCCAAACTCTAGGCTATAAGAGCCCACCATTATATTGTTTTTCCAGAATACTGCTTCTGGTCTCTGCACAAACTGTATTTCAAGAGCAATGTAGGAGGAGCAGGCCTATCAATGGAAAATCACATTGCAGTATTATATATGTACTTACTGCCAGTGGGATCATGGGATGGTATACTAAAGACACATATAGCAAATGAGTAAAAAATTAACACTAGAAAGGTTATGATCCATATTATAAGAAATAGTACATGAATTAAATCAAAGACACTTACAGATCTTGATTTCTTCTAACTGGGATAGTACTGTCCTTCCCACAAAGGGTAAAAATCTGTCTGGATAGCACTGTTTTTAGTCTCCCTTGGGGATTTACTGGGTACCTGAACATATTGAAATGTTAACAGTATATCAAAATAGGACTCAAAAGCTAATAATGTAATAAATGTTGTGGGAGCCCAGAGAGGACAGGGTGGAATCGTCTAAAACTACAAATAAGATTTTAAAGTGGAATGCAGGAGAAATTTGTAAGCAAGCAATATGTCTACTGCTCGCTGCAATATCAGAAAGCATGTGTCAGGGTGGTTGTTATAGAAAGAGAATAACCTTTCCGAGAAAATATTCATAAAACTCTAAAATATTTGCTAAGTGATATTCTTGGGAGCTGGGGGTGAGCATACAATATGAGAAAACAGTACCATTCACACTAAGAAAACAAGGAGGGTTTCAAACCTTCAGATGGAACAAGGAGTGAAATATAGGGTGGAAGAGCATATGGGATTGCAATTGAAGTAACACAATCACAAATTTGAGTGTTTCCATCGTCTTGGAGGGCCAAAGTAGTGGTCTTCTAACATGGAAGTGCTTCCCACTTTCACCCCAAAGGTTCATTGTTGAGTAGTGTACTTGTTAATAGCCAACAAACATTTCAATGATTCAAATGTAGCTGGGTGTAAATCATAATAACTTTGAAACAGATTCCAGGTGAAGTATAGTGACTTGTCCATAAATTCTGCAATGGTGGCTTAGGTAAAGCAGAAATGTTATTTGTAAAATCTATAGAAATACAGATATTAAGTTCATATTTTCTTTAGGTCATCACTTTGTGGATTGTTGGCAGTCAAAGTGGACAAAGAATGGGTGAATTGCCTTGGAATACCAGATGACCATCTACAGATTGGTGAAAAATTCACATGACTTGACCAAATACAGTTGACCACCAAAGGATAAAGGGCTAGAAGATAACAATGACAGCACATTTAGTCCAGGGAGGCACATAATAGATACAAGTTCTCATTGATAGTTAGCTTGACAGTGCCTATTGTGCACAGGAAACTATTAAGGAGAAAAAATGCACCATGGCCATATACCACCCACAGTAAGGTCAGAGGTGAAATCCCAAGTATTTTAGTGGTTCAAAGAGGAACCAAGGCCAGATGCAGTGGCCCACACCTATAATCCCAGCTCTTTGGGAGGCTGAGGTGGGTGGATCCCCTGAAGCTGGGGGTTAGAAACCAGCTTGAGTAGAATAGTGAGATCCCATCTCTTAAAAACAAAAACAAAACGAAAGAAAGAAAAGAAAAATTAGCCTGGCATGGTGACATGTGCCTGTAGTCCCAACTACTTGGGAGGCTGAAGCAGGAGGATTGCTTCAGCCCAGAAGTTTGAGGTTGCTGCAAGCTATGATGATGCCACTGCACTCTAGCCCTACACTCTAGCCCAGGCAACAGAGAGATACCTAGTCACACACACACACACACAAAAGGAAATCCAGGCTGATTTGGCCATCCAAGTTATCCCTTCCCATTGACATAGGTGTCTCAGGTAGTACAGATTAGGTAGATACTTATTGGGAGGTGTTATTTTTAATTTATGGCCTCCAGAAACTATTAACATTACTATTAGCCACATAGAATGAGTTGGGAGGTGTTCCCTCCTCCTCTATTTTTAAAGAGTTTAGCTAGGATTGGCTTTATTTTTATCTTTAAATAGTTCACAGAATTCACCAGTGAAGCCACCTGGACCTGAGCATTTCTTTGTGGGATTTCAATTTCTTTACTTGTTATAGGTTTTTTTTAGATCGGATCTTCTTTCTTGAGTCAGTTTTGGTAACTGGTATCTTTTTAGGAATTTGTTCATTTCAACTAAACCATTTAATTTGTTGACATAAAGTTGTTAATCGTATCTCATAATTCCTTTAGCTTCTTCTCATAATTCCTTTAGCTTCTATAGAATCTAGAATTAGTAATGCTGTTCCTCTCTTATTTCTGATTTTGGTAGTTTTATTCTCTCATTTTTATGCCTGGGGTTGCTAAAAGTGCATCAATTTTGTTTATATTTTCAAAGAACCAACTTTTGATCTCATTGTTTACTGCTTTTTTGTTTTCTATTTCATGAATTATGGCTCTGTTCTTTATTATTTCTATCTTTGGGTTTAAGTGACTGTTATTTTTCTGTTTTGTTTTTTTTTAAGAGGGAAACTTAAATTATTGATTTGAAACCCTTCTTATTTCTAATATGGGCATTTAAAGCTAGAAATTTCCCTCTAAACATTGCTTTGCTGTATCCCATAAATGTCTTTATTTTGAAGACAATTCTAGGTTGACAGTTCCCTTTTTTCCATCACCTCAAATCTACCATCAGTGCCTTCTGGCTTCCATTGTTTCTGATGAGAAGTCAGCTGTTATGTTATTGTTTCTCTGTATGAGATGAATCATATTTTCTTGCTCCTTTAAGATTTTCCCTAACAGTCTGACTATAACATGTCTAGATGTGGTTCTCTTTGTGTTTATACCAGGTTTTATTGAAAACTTGTATTTGTAGGTTAATTAAATTTAGGAAATTTAGGGCTATTATTTTTCCAAATATTTTTTAGCACCCTGAGACTCCCATTACATGTGTTGGCATGTTTGATATTGTCTCATAAATTTCAGTATGACAATTACCTATAATGAAATGGTGCCTACTTCTTATGAAGCATTTAAATTTTTCCTACTTCCATTTCCTTTAGTTAAAAAATGTGGTATTTTCTTTTCCTCTCAGAAATAGTAGGGGGGCACAGTACTTAGATTTTTGTTTTGCATATACAGTGTAAGATACGTGAAATGGTATTATAATAAAGTAAAATAGTAATAAATGACCTGGTTATGAAATGAAATGAATAACTGTTTCTCCAGCTGCAGTATCAGAATTATCTTCATATACAGTGATTAAAAGGGAGAAAAAGGGTGGAACAGTAGTGTTCCTCTTTAGGAACAGACAATATTTATAAAACCTTAAATGTAATTTTTAATAAAAAGTCATATGCATTATAAAAAAGGGGTCATTATGAGTGATGTAAAGATGGCTATACATGCTATCTTAAGAATGCCACATCTTTTATCATACAGATTTCAAATGCTTTTTGGCTATACTTATAAGCACTTTAAAAAAATGGAACTACATTAACTAAATGACAACCATTAAATATAATTAGTTCTTCATCAACACAGTAAGATAATGATTAAAATATTTTCCCTCATATAGTCAAAATACTAATCTTTTCACTTATAAATCTGTAGGCAAATGTGTAATCATCAAACAATGTATAGCACAGAAACAAAAAAAAGTGTTGTAAGTCTAGTTATAATGATAGGTTTTTCTAGTACAGATAATTATCAACAATTTATTATAAGAACCTACGTATACAATAAATACTTGATTTGATCAAAAGTCTTTTAAAATATATTCATAATAAAATGTGTAGAAAGAGACATTTCAAAGTCATAGCAGTTACTACTTATTACAATATTTAATCATTTTTACAATAGGTCTGCCGGTCCATTTCAATTAAATTCATTCTCAGAACCATCACATATCTTGCTGAATTTCACTTAGAGCACAAGCAAGTTGCTTAATTTTTGCTTCCATTGTTTTTTTATTCTTGCATGTTTCCTCCAGAAGTCCACGCATTTCTTCTTCAATTTGGTAAACCTAAATCAACATGTAAATTTTACCTTTTAGTTTCTTAAAGAAAATGTATTTTAAAAATACATTCTGAAAGAAAAAAGTCAAGCATTTATTCTTATGCATTTTGAAATTTGTGATTCATTTAAAAAATGAGTTAATAAAATGTAACCTGTTCAAATGCTAATAGGAAAAATACAATGTGTACATAATATACAAAGTACTTTCAGGTATATTATCTACTTAGTTCTAATACGGTTCTTGTGAAAAAGACATAGCAATATATTTTAACTCTATTTTAGAGCTTAGAAAATTTGTTTATGGCTGTGCAGTTTCTACATAATCACAGCTAGAACAAAAAACTCAATCTTCTGGCTTAATTCTACTGTCCCATGCTGCTTATGAATGCTGAGTCACAAGTTCAGTTTAAATACCAGTTCCTTACAGATATTCAAAATTCAAATAATAACCTCCCTCCTCAAATGTTCTCTTTAATGTAGTGCCTACTTCATTTCTAAACGTGCTGTTTGGGGGTTATATATTACCATCTTTTTGAGAGATCATTTTTATCATTTATTTCTAACCTCCATTCTCCTAGGATTCTCTGTTTTTACATTAACTTCTGCCTAAAATCCTTTTTCCTACTATATCACAACACTCTGGATACTGCTACCAATATGACCACCTTTTTCTGTTTATTTCACTCTTCCTAATCCCTAATATAGATATCCTAATCTCATTTTGTAAGAAAATGAATATTTCTCCTAATTTAAATAATCACCTCTAAGTGATACCTCAGAATCCTCCCCTGCACTCATACCTGATTGTCATATTTAAGCTCTGGTGCTATTTCTTTAACTCTTTAACAAACACTTCCATTTGCTATTACTTCATATTGGCAGGAGGTCCAACATTCAACTCAGTATTTTTCTTTCAGGAAATGGCCTAATCTTAAACTCTATTTAGTATTATCTGATATACCCTTGTTAAATATTTGGTAGATTTTAAATAAAACATATGAAGTATCTGTTGACTTTAAATGAAATAACTAAATTTTGGACAAGTTATACTTCCTAATTCATTGTGATTATTTCCAAAGACCTTATTCCCTCTTTCTCTGCATAGAATCTGGAGGATAATGTCATTTAAACACATACCTTGATTATAATTTCTATACGGAACATTATTTTGCCTTTCTGTTGTTGGACTCTTTTCCAGTTGTTGATTTCTGGATCTCTTATCTTACGGATACCTTAGTTTCTTATTACTACTTCAAAATCAGGAAAAAATGGAAATTTATAATTATTCCCTAATGTAGTGGATCTCACCAGAGGGATCACATTAGAATCACATGTGGAATTTTAAAAATACCTGGGTCTGACCTCAGACTTAGTGAATAAAAGTCTCTAAGGGGAAGCTCATGAATGTGTATTATTAAAAAGCTTCACAGGTGATTCTGATGTTTGCCCCTAATTTAGCATCACTCTACACTCATTACTTTGTCAATAATATCAAGACAGTAAAGCTGATAGTCTTGAAACTTAATTAATAATAAAGTAGGCTGGGCAAGGTGGCTCATGCCTATAATCCTTGAACTTTGGGAGGCCACGGTGGGAGGACTGCTTGAGGTCAGGAGTTTGAGACCAGCCTCAGGAACATAGTGAGACCCTGTCTCTACAAAAAAATAGAAAAATTAGCTGGGTTTGGTGGTGCACACCTGTAGTCCTCAGCTACTCAGGGGCCTGAGGCAGGAGGATTGAGTCTGGGAGGGAAAAAAAAGAACTCTTTGACAACTTTTTCCAAGGTAGCAATGGATTATCTTTAATACAGTCACATTCTCATGCTGCCTATGTGCAACCAAACAGACTTCTGAGATTGGTTAGATATGCAAATTTTTATCTAGTGATCATGGAGTAGGTGAACACCAGACTCAAACTTACGGTTTTGGTTTCATTAGAATTATGTTCTACAATTAATCTAAGTATTACCAACATGTTAGCCTGGTTTCATGATAGTTTTGGCAACATCCTTCATATCTATTTGGTCATGAAATCATGCTACCTTTTTTCTTTATAAGTCTCAAAAGATCTAATTTATTTAGCTATAACCATTTAAAACTGATCATCAAAGTAGATTTTCTTTCTAGTACCTTTAAATTTGCAGAATCTATACATTGTTGCTTTTCACATGCCAGTTGTTTAATTTCAGTCCGATGAGTTTCAATAATTTCATCAACTTGTTTTTTAAAGGCGTCATCCATACTCTGAAGCTTTTCTACTGCATCCCTTAAAAAAGTAAAAAACACCCACAAATAAATGTGTATACGTGGTGTGTGTGTATTATTTAAGATGTTACTTCTTAGATGGTAGCTCTTACATTCATACTTTAATGGAAACATAACTCAGTATTATGAAAATATCAAAAGGCTATTATAGGGTAACTAAAGATATGAGTAGCTCACCATCTCGCAGAATCTATAAGGGTACCAGATTAGGCTAGGGCAGGGGTTCTCAAACTTTTTAAACAGGGGGCCAGTTCACTGTTCCTCAGACCGTTGGAGAGTGCGCACTGTGGGCCCAGGATGAGTCCGCTGCTAAGCAGCACAGTCAGCGGTGGCAAAAACACTCAGCGGCCGGATAAATGTCCTAGGAGGGCGGCATGTAGCCCGCCGGCTGTAGTTTGAGGACGCCTGGGCTAGGGTAACATTGCTGAAAGTTGTTAACACTTTTATGCTTTGAAAGTTAGAGTACTGTTTCTCTAACAAGTACTATGTACTTGTTATTAACAATAATTTGCTTATTTTAGTTTATTACAATTCCATTAAAAATTATATATACCCATCTTAGTCATGAAGACATTAATGTAAAAAATCAGGTCTGCATCATTTTGTTATTAATGACATGAACAATGCAATATAAAAGATTCTAAAATTGTTAGGCTTTATAATTTTTAATAGGTTTTTGCTAATTATAAAAATGACTGTTTCTTTTAGTATCTGAAAGACTCCTAATTGTAAAGTTGTTACTGGCAGGATAGAAAACTGTAACAGGTACCAAGCAAAGGTTCTGGTTATAAGTGCTTGGTTGAAAGCAAAGTGGAACAGGGTCTGTTAACAATCAACCGTACTATCAATCAAAACCATGTAGAGTATAACAACATTTTTCTATTACACTGAGTTAGAACATAGGAAATCAAATCTCAGGTCCTTTTAGGTTGGATATAATAAAAACCTACTGCTACATGAGGTTTCTGGGTTAGTCACATGCTATGTATATCACTCTTTACTTGGACATGAGAACTGATCTTAAACTATGCTGTCTATTTTTCAAGGTACTTCAATTTTACAAATTCTTTTTACAAGTCTAGTTATATAGTTTACAAGGTAAAAAATTATTTCCTCTTGAGTATTTCATGGAATCCATACAACAAAGGCAGCCAGGTACACATTTTCTTTCCTTTCTTTAAAATTAGCTCTCATCCTCAGCTTGTGCTGGTGACTGCTATCTAAATCTGTTCCAGCCTCTTTGGGAGCTCAATGACCCTGGTAGCCCTGACTTTCTCCACTAAATCTCACTCACCACAACTAAAATATCATTAGCTGCATTCAATTTTAAAACAATACCATAGCAATAAAAACAAAATGTTCATATAGCAATTATTATGTCAGGCACTATTCTAAGAACTATATAATTCATATAAGCCATATATATTCATAAATACACATATATATTCATAAATACACATAAAGTTTCAATCTTGCATCTACATTTAAGGTAGGAACTATTACTAGCTTCATTTTATAGATGGAATGGAAATAAACTTCTTGGCAAATAGCTATGTCCTCTATGTCTGTTAGCTCCTCTTTCTTTATACATATGCCACCCATCCCACACACAGTGTTTATGATTAAAAAGATCCCACATCCTTTAGGACTTAATGCTTACTTTTGTAGTTCAATACTTTTGTCTCTTTCTGCTTTAAGTTTCTTTTCCTTGTTTTCAAATTTTTCTTTCGCTTCTTTTACTTGTGTTTCAAGGTGACACAGAAGTTCTCCTTTATCGTGCCACTTCTGATTAAGTGTACTAATATGAGAAGAAATAATTTTAAAAGTAAATTGGGTATATGAAATTATTAAATAACATTTTATTTCACAGTGGGAAATACTGTATAATACCTGTAAGCTTTTCTAATTTCTTCAAGTTCTAATTCCTTTACTTTCAACTGTTGCTTTAGCTTGTCTTTCCTTTCATTGTGCTTTTCCAATTTCTCAAGTACATTATCTAGCTGTGTACATTTTTCATCAAGTTGTTCTTGAGTACATTTTTCTACTTCAGTGATCTTTAATTGTAATCTCTTGATGTGTTCATCTTTTTCTTGTAAACACTTCAAGAAAAAAAAATCAGCACTTTATTTCTATTAATCTTAAATATCTCATATTCTGCTTAATTAGATATGATTTACATTATCCTTTAAAAGGATGTTTTAAATACATAAAATGCTAATTTTCCTGTGACCCCTAATCTTTTACTGACATTGAGTATTTCTTGTTATTCCAAAGCAACAATAAAATTCTCCATAAAACTGTGAAGTAAAATTTGTTTCAAGTTAATATTAATAAATACCATGTAGAACTTTTAAGAGCAAAGGGGCAAATACTATAAAGGGAAGTACATTGATAGCCTATCCTAAATTCTGTAACAGTTGGAGAATATTGAAACCAATCAGATTTTCAAACCTGCCATTTGTTCTTTAACCAAAATAAAATGTCAAAACTTACATCTTTTAATTTTTTAATGGTGTGAGTTTGGTCTTCTATGATTTTGCACTTTATTCTTAATGCATCACAATTACTTTCATTTTCCTTTCGCAGAGATTCGTTCTCTTTACATACACTTTCACCTTGGGCCTCCAATTTTCCATGATTTGGGGCTAGACAAGACCCTAAGAAACAAATATCATCAGTTACAAACTTTAATATACCTTGGGGGTCTTATATTTTATGAAAATCTAATTTAACAATATATAATATAGTAAATAAAAAGAACTGAATAAAGAAACCAAACATATAATGCTACAATATGAAGAGGAAAGACCTAGTGAACAAAAAGGCCTTCTAAACACTTGTGGCAATTTAAAGACCTAAAACCACTAATAAAGTCAAGAACAAATAACTTGGATATGTAATACTCAATTCATGTTACGGCATTCAAACAAACAAAATCATATTAAAAATTCCTACAAGGAATGAGCAATACTCCATTAAGACCAATATCTAGCTATTCATAATTTTTAATGAATGCCATAAAACAGTGATATATCTCTTACTCTACAATGATTAGAAAGGAAATGAGACTGAGGGTTTACCTAAACCTGAAATGTTTTTCATCCATACACTATTGTACATTTCTGCATGCACAATGTTACAAATATGTGAGAAAAAACTGAATGTTGCATAGTATATAAATAACTTAAAATCAGTGTATAAGAAAAAATTATTTTTAACAATTTACTTAGCAGTAGCAATAGTTCAGAAAGGTAACCAAATTATCATGGGAAGAAAATAACAACAACAAAAAATCAGAACTGTAACTTGTTAAATGGTGTAATAAATTATTTCCCATTTCCTAAGATGACTTCATTTCTGTTTGGTTGGAAAATGCCTACTTATCCTTCCACATACAGTGTCACTGTTTTTATTGCCATCTTTAGGTATAGTTAATTTTTTCTGTTTGGTTTTCTCCAATACTCAGATTTGTTGGTTTTTAAGAATAAGCTATTTTCCCTTGAAAACCTGAGAATTTTACCCTGTTGTGCCAGGTCATGTCCCCATACTTTTCTTTCAGTCCTTAAACCAAAAATTAGTGATTCCTTGGCTGCTAGGTCGGAAATAAGCTGCATTTTTTCATGCTTGAGAAGTTCTATTTGAATACTCTTCTGCTTGTCATCTTCAATTAAAATTTCAATGGTGTTGATTTGATTCTGTATATCAAAAAATTGAAAGAAAAAGGAAAGTACTTAATCACTTCTTTATTTTCTATTTTTTCATTTTATGAGAAAAAATGTTATTTAAGCAAATACAAAGTAAATGCTGCCAAATTTTACATCAGAAGTTTTAATTTTATAAACTAAACTTAAATGTAGGTAATGAAATAAAGTCAAATTTTAAGAGGCCACTCCTTTAAACATTCTAAATTTTAGTCTAAAATTGTAAAAGAGCAACTATGCTTTTAATACTCAAAATTTCTCACCGAACATTTGTATCCATGGTCTAAACGACACTTTTAAAAAATAATCTTGGGTAAAATAACACTAATTTTTATAATTGAGGTAACAGCAATAAAGACATGAATTTAAAAATTATTATAGCTAAGTATATCTAAGTATATCCACTAGTACCATCACCACAAAATATCAGCGCTTCAACTGGTATTTCTCAAAAAATTGTATCACCTTCACAATATTTGTTTCATCACTATACAACTAGCACCTACTTAATTAACAAGTTTCTTGAAATTAATTCACTTATTTTACTTAAATACTATCTTACTGTAAACAATACAATCTGCAAAATGATGACTGTAATCGCCTTAGTTGTACTACTTTTCTCACGCAATCACAATACATAATTAGTACCATTTAAAAGTTCCTCTTGTGTACTTCCTAAAATCATCACAACACATTTGAGAAAATGACATAAAAAATTAAAAAGGAAGTATGTTACAAAGTCTTACCTGTAAATTTGCTGCTGTTTCCTGTTTCAATTTAGAAACTTCTGCGAGTTTTGCTTTTTGTTCCTTCAACATACAGGTCAGATCTTTAATTAAAGAGGAAGACTCATTTTCTTTTCGTTGAGCCCAAACAAGAGCATGTTTGCTTTTTGCTAACTCAGTTGCAACATTTTCAAAACCATCTTTAACCTATATTTGAAAATCGCATTATAAATAGCAGTTCTCCAAATTAATTAGAAAATATTTGCTTCTGGAAACAGTTTATATCTTTCATTTGTGGAATCCTAGAGTTTTAGCAAATGTATAAAATTCAGAGATAATTTGTTTTAATCTGTTAATTTCCAGATGATGAAACAGAGACCCAAGGAGGTTATGTATTTGTCCAAAGTCACCTAGCGAATTAGTGTCAGATCTAAAACCAGAACACATTCATTTAACAAATACTTACTGAGGGCCTGTTGTATGTCAGACATTGTTCTAGGTGCTGGACTGCATCAAAGGAAAACACAGACTAAAATCTCTGTCTTTGTAAAGCTTACATTCTAGTGGGTAGGGAATGACAATAAAACAACAAGCATAATAAACTATACATTATGCTAGATGATATTAAATGTTTGGATAAAAAAAAGGTCAGCGGGATGTGAGATGTGGAAAATGCAGGTTTAATTTTGAGGTATAATTATTGAGAAGATAACACTGGAGCAATGACTTCAATAGGGGCTATACAAATATGGGGGAAATAAGTATTCTAGGCAGGAATACGCCTGGCATACTGAAGGAATAGGAAGAAGGCTTGTGTCACTGGAGTGGCATAAATGAACAGGAGGGTAAGTAGGGGAGGGCTAGACTGCGAAGGGTGTTGAATATTATTCTGAATAAAATGGAGGGACAATGGAGGTCTTCGGCTAAGCACCTAGAAGGATGGAATTGTCATTAACTGAGATAGGAAGACTGTAGAGGTAAAAAGTTTGGGGGGAAAATCAGTAGTTAAGTCAAGTGTTAAACAGGTGGTTAGACATATAAGTTTGGAATTCAGACAAAAGATCCAGACTGAAGATATAATAAATGATGCTGGAGGAATTTACCAAGAGAATGAGTGTGTATAGAAAAGAAGTTTAAGGACTAAAACTTGGGCACTCCAATAATGAACTTTTGGAGAAAATAAGAGAAACCTACAAAGGAGACTGAAAAAAAGTGAAATAACAGAAAATAAAGAAAACCAAGAAATGTGGTGTGCTGGAAACCATGTAAAGAAAGAATCTGGAGAAGGACAAAGAGATCAACCCTTTCAAATGCTGCTCCTAAATCAAACCAGATGAGAACTAAATTGACTGATGACTTTTATAGTATGGATGTTGCTGGTGGCATTGACTAAAGCAATGCGAGTAGAGCAGGGAAAAGAAGTAGAGAAATCAGAAAGAGTAAATACACATTTTTGAGAAGTCCCATTATAAAAGAAAGCAGAGAAATAAAGTAGTAGCCAAAGGTGGAAATGGGATTAAGAGAGATGAAAGAAATCACAGCATGTTTATACGCTGAAGGAAATGACCCAATACACAGGGAAAAACAGCTAATGTAAGAGGGTGAGAGAAGATCCACTGAAGCCACATTCTTCAGTAGGCAAGAGGAAATGGGATATAGCGTTTATCTGGTGGGATTAACCTTAGGGGCAAGACTGTTCCTCTAGAGTAGGGGTTACCAAGCTTTTTCTGTAAAGAGCCAAACAGTAAACCATTAGGCTTTACAGGCCAGGCCATATGGTCTCTGTTGCAAGCATTCAGCTCTGCTTTGTACCAAAAAGCAGCCATAGATAATATGCAAATAAATGAACATGGCTCTGTTCCAATAAAATTTTACTTAAAAAACAAGCAGTGGCCCATAGCTGGCCTGGGGGCTTTCATTTTGCCAATTCCTGCTGTATAGTAATAGGAGGAAATTCAGGTTTCCCAATTTCTATTCCAGTACTCTCTTTAACTTACTATTTATAATCTTAAGTTTTTGCAACAGCAATAAAAAAATAGCTATTATTTATTTGAGGAAACTAATGTTCTAAGAATTTATGTAATTTGCTTAAGATCATATAGCCAACATGTAAATAAAGCTAGGATACTAAAACAAAGTCTCATCAAACCATATCTTGCTGATTCTGTTTTCAATAAAGAGCTAGATGCCAATTCTTACGTCTTTAAATCTTCTGGCTTCAATAGTTAAAGCAATACGAAATTCATTTTCCAAATCCATATACTGCTGGTTTAATACATCAATTTTTTCTTGATATTCTTTTGTAACTTGCTCATGCTTTTGCTCTTCTTTGGCTATTTCTTTAGCTAAGGCATCCTGGAACTCTGCATCACTAAAATATTCTCTTGTTTCAAGTGCTGTCCTGGAATAAAAATCAAATAAAAGTCAAAGGACGATGTTTACCTAAAAAGCAAAATTTTAAAGGTCTTTAAATACTTCCTATTTAATATTCTATATTCCCTATGTTAATTTAAGATCAGCCCCTCACTTTCAAACAAAGAAATCAGGCATAGGTAGGTATGGAAAGAATGTGAGTTTTATTTGATGTGTATTTAATGGTGCTGGGGATAAGAGGAGTATGTTAAATCTTAACTTCGTTGAGATAGTTCAGAATCATTCCTATGGCTTCTGAAATTCTTTAGGTGCCTTCGCATAATCTAAGTTCTGCTTCACTGTAGCTACTACTATGGCTGAATCTCTGACTTACAATACAATCTGATTGGCACTGGTGGTTGGTTAATAGAGAAAGTCAGTTAAAGTATAAAATTACTAATAATTTTTTGTTATAGGGCCAGTTTTCTATTTAAATGTGAATTCATTCTTTAGAGTTTTCTACTATTTTTCTTACATAATTAAAACCTCTAATGTAATAAAATCCATTATTTCCAGTTTTAGTTTTTAAAACTGGAATAAGAACTTAAAAGACATTTGTAAAGGAAACTAAGTGCAAAATTCTAGATTTTTGTGATTTCCCCCAATCTTTTATAGTTATCTTTTCCACACACAATGACAATTTTCCCCAGAGAACCAAAATTAACTTTATGCATTAAAAATTTGTGTAAGTGCAAAAATAAAACAGGTTTGAAAATAAATGCAATTAACCCACAGCAATCACACAATTCAATTGGTAGGATAGTAAATAAATAACTAGCTAAAAATATTCAAATTACTGTGGACTGTATAGAGCAAGAGTTGACCAACTACAGCCTGTGGGCCAAATCTGAACTGTTGCCTTTTTCTTTGTAAATAAACTTTTACTGGAACACACCCATGCCCATTTATTTGTGTATCATCTATGGCTACTTTTGTGCTACAAAGGTAGTTAATTATAGCCTGCAAAGCCTGAAATATTTTCTATGTAATTCTTTACAGAAAAAGTTCACTGACCCCTGTTTCAGAGGAATACAGAATATTAATTTAACAAGTAGTTACTTGGAGGTTAATTATAAGTTTTATCTATATATAATGACCAACTTTTGGTTGGGTTTGGAGAAATGCAAAGTAAGCTTTATTGTTATAAGTCCATATCTCAAACACAGACAACAAAGTCACCTATTTGTTTTTTAGGTTCTTGTTATAAGACTAATTCTAATGCATACCTCAACATGGTATTTTCCATGAGCTAATTCTCTAAGACTTCACCAATGCTCAATGATTGTCTTCAAATGTTGGGGGGAAAATCCAGAAGCTTTCTTTATCTATTTTTAAATGTTAATAATTTCCTGATATATTTTTCATTTACCTGTGTTCCCGTTCTTTCAATGCAAGAAGTTCATGAAGCTGTTGTACTTGTTCCTTTTCTTGATGAAGGGAAGTTCTAAGTAAGTTTATTTCTCTATCAGCAGCTGAAGCTTTGAGCTCTACCTCTTGAATAAGTCTGATCTGAGTAAAATACACACAATTATAGTATTTAAGTTAATAATCTCCCCTGCTATTTTAATGGCAGTTCCCATAAGAAAAGCGCTTCTAAATGACAGGACCTAGTGACTAACTTGATTTTAAAAATTTATTAAATTAACAATATTATGGTTACACAAAGTACAGCTGAGGAAGCAATAGACTAGCATTAACTATTGGTTACATGTATCACAAATTTTAATAATAAAGAAAGCATGAAAATGAAACTTCTTCAAGCACCTCAAAGACTTTTAAAAGCTATGTCTCAAAAAAAAAAAAAAAAAAAGCTATGTCTCTCAGAATACAAGCCTAACTACCTGCAATACTTCCACCAACTCTTCTTTTAATTGCTTTATGTAAGTGCTAGCAGCCTTAATTTAAACACAATTCAACAGGCTACATGATTGTTATAATTTCATTTTTGCATATAGCCTAACATCTTTTAGGTTTACTAAATGGTACAATTTGTTTCAAGACATAAGCTATAAATTTGTGTTAATCCTTATCACTGATACATTAAAATAGAGAAATACCTGTGCAGCCTGCTGCTGCCCTTTTTGTCTCTCCATTTTTTCTAATGCTTTTTCCAGGGTTCTTAAATGTTTAAGATGATCCTGTTGTTGATCTCTTGCTTTAATTAGTTCAATACTTAGTTTTTTAATTTCATTTTGAAGTTTGTGAACCATAATTTCGAGTTGTGATTTGGAATTTCTCTCTCTAAAAATAATTTCCTTTAGCCTAAAGCAGAAATTATATGTGGTGTTAAGTATATTACACATATAAAAAATGATAAAAACTGTAGTTAGTGTTAAAACTTACAGCAGAGAGGAAGATTTGAAGTATGTTTCAAACTCTAATTATAGTAAAAACTGGCTGAAAAACAATATGCCTTTCCTCCATCCCTGAACCTAACATTGTGCTCAAAGGGGAAATGTTCTACATAAATTAACAAAACTTTATCTTATGTGAACTTTACAATTCAATAGCAGAACTTTACTAAACACCTAACTTGTTTCAAGCATTGTGGTAGATATGAACTTAAAGCAAGCAAGATGAGTAAGATGTGGTCTCTGCCTTTTAGGAACTCGGTATCTAGCAGTGAGAACAGACATGGACACATTTATAAAGCCGTATGACAGAAGTGCCAGATGAACAGCTACCGTGTTTCCCCAAAAATAATACAGGGTCTTATATTTATTTTTCCTCAAGAAGACACTGAGGGATTATTTTCAGGGGATGTGTTATTTTCTCCTCAAAGTCTCAGCTTGCAGCACGCACAGGATGGCCGGGACCTGACGGGGAGCCAACCTTGTTGGTGGGGCTGCCCACACCTTTCTGGTCACCTCTGGGATAGTAGCTGTCATGATGGGGCAGATGAAAAGGGCTGCTCATCTTCTTTACTGCTCCGCAACAAAATGCAGATATGCTGCGTACCCACGCCCATCACTAGGTTTTATTTTCCCGGTAGGGCTTATATTGCTCAAATACATAGAAATCCTGTCAGGGCTTATTTTATGGGTAGGTCTTATTTTCGGGGAAACAAGGTACCTGTAAGTCAACTTTGACTTCTCTATATCTAACCCAGACACCAAGTATTGATGCCAGCTTTGTATTAGTTAGACTCCTTTGATTACAACCAAAAACTCTTAGCTGGATTAAATAAAAAGAGAGAATTTACTGACTCACATAAGCAAACAGAGGATAGGGTGGCAATATTCTGAGGGACCACTGAACCTAGAACCTAGAACATGCACACCATTAGGACTCTGTATAGCTGATTCCCTAGAGGCTGGTGTTAGTTTTTCCTTCTTCAGGCCTCTTTATGTATGAGGGATGGAGGGGAGGCCACAGATATCTTTGGGATCATATTCTAACAACTCTTGAGAACCAAACAGGAAAGATGTCCTTTTTCTAACTCAACTTAGAAGAGTTCTAGGAAAGATTCTCATTAGTCCAGTTGGATTCATATGTCTACTCCATGAACCAATCACTGTAGCCATAGGATAAGGCATGTTTACCCAGCTTGGGTCAGGTGCTCACCCACTAATCAATACTATAGGCAGGGAGGCAGGTGGTTGATACAGAGTATAAGTCTAGTGTTTAGAAAAGGGAGAGTGAAGGGTCAGGCACAGTGGCTCACTCCTGTAATTCTAACATTCTGGGAGGCTAAGGCAGGAGGACTGCTTGAGCTTGGGAATTTGAGACCAGCTTGAGCAAGAGTGAGAACCCATATATACTAAAAAATAGAAAATAGTATGGAGATTCCTCAAAGAACTAAAAGTAGACCTATCATTTGGTCCAGGAATCCCACAGCTGGGTTTTTTCCCAAAGGAAAAAAAGTCATTTTATCAAAAAGACACTTGTACTTGAATGTTTATCACAGCACAATTCACAATTGCAAAGATGTAGAATCAACCCAAGTGCCCATCGATTCCTAAGCAGATTAATAAAATATGGTCTATGTATACCATGAAATACTACTCAGCCATAAAAAGGATGAATTAATGCCGTTTGCAACAATTTGGATGGAACTGGAGACCATTCTCTTAAGTGAATGTAAGAATGGAAAAACAAACACCACATGTACTGACTATTAAACTGGAACTAACCGAACAGCACTTGTGTACAGATGGAAGTAAAACTCAATGGAAATCAAGTAGATGGGAGGGAGGAGGAAGGGGATGGATGAAATTATACCCAACAGGTACAATGTACACTATTTGGATGATGGGCACACTTATAACTTTGTCTCCACAGTACAAAAGCAATCCATTTAAGCAAAACATTTGTACCCCCAGATTGTGGGATAAAAAAACAAGAAAAAGAAAAATTAGCTGGGCATGTGGTTTGTGCCTGCAGTCCTAGCTACTTGGGAGGCTGAGGTAGGAGAACTGCTTGAGCTCAGGAGTGTGAGGTTGCAGTGAGCTATAATGATGCCACTGCACTCTACCTGGGATGACAAAGACTGTCTCAAGAAAACGAGCAGTGACGAAGACAGCCTCATGAATTAATTACTGAGCTAGGCAGCCACCTCAATGTATATCTATTGTCGTTTCCAAGCCACATTCAAAAAAACATATTCATCAACTTCTATGCTACAGTCATTTCTCCAATTCTTGTCCTTACCATCTCCCTTCTTGCCTTTAATGAGAACAGTCTCCAAAATGGTTTTCCTTTGTTCACTCTCTCAACTCCTGTTTGGTATGTTATATGAAAGAGAGTTAGACTATACATTGGATGAGGGCAGAGAAGCTACAGACAAACAGAACTGGAGTGATCATTTAAGCAAGATATAAGAGCCTAAGGTATAAGAGCCTAAGATATAAGACATAAGAGCCTAAGAAACTAAGAAAACAGTTTTGGGATATTGAGGAGATAGTTCCACATCCTTTAAGAAGTAGAAAAAAGAAGAGATCAATACCAACTGGCTGTGGGATATGAGAAAGAGAAAGGGAGCAAAAAAAAAAAAGATTCCTAGTTTTTTAGCTTTGATGGCTGACTAGATGCTGGATAGGACACCATTTACTAGGGCAAGGAATATAGAAAAGGGAAGCAGGATGAGTCCATCTAAGGGCATGCTGATCTTAAGATAATTCTGAGAAATAAAGGCAAGGCATTTTTAGTACACAATTAGATGAATAAATCAGGAAGTCTGGACAATCAAGGAGGTCTGGACAATAAAGACACCATAGTAGGTAAGATTCAATTTTTGAAATAACAAATACGCATAGCATAGCACCTAGATGACAGATCCTGTATTAGGTGCCAGGTATACAGAGTTCCTACCAAGGCACATAAGGAAATATCAAGATTGGTGAAGATCTAATCTGAAACAAACATTTGGGGTAGAGATAAAAGAAGAATCAGAAAAGACTGAAGCTGATTTTTCAAGATAACAATGAATATGTAACTTGGGAAACATGGGCACAACAATGTACAGGTTAAGTAAACACAAAGATGAAGTGTGCCTACAGCTTTCCAATTTAAATACAATCTGGATATTTAGACAGTCCCAGGCAGCTTCCTCTAATATCTCGCCAAAATAATACCTACAATATAGGATGAAGCAAAAATTCATACACACACTACTAAAAACAAAAGATAACATATTGCCAAAATCTGGGAGGAATTTCATTTCAATTATAAGCCAAATGCAACTATACTGCATTAATACAAATAAATGCAATAAATGCAATGCAAATAAAAACTCCTAGAACACTTAGGCTCTGCTTCATGAAACTGCTTCATTCTGAAAAAGGAAGACATATCCCTCTTTTCTATTGCCTGTCCATGACAGGGTCTCTATCGATCTGTCATTATATAATGTTGTTACCTATGCAAGAGTACTGTTTTTCTGAGATAGTCACAACACTGTTAATTTATCCATCCTGTTCCCTCTCCCTCCCCCAATATCTTCTTGTATCAATTCAGAGACAGCAATTCTCAAAACATAAATAAGGCAGGAAGTTGTTGGGTGGTGGTGGAAGGACTAGTGATAGCATCATGCATCATGGCTTGCATAATTAGAAGTTCTCATAACATAGGTTAGGCATTGTACTTTTCCTTATACCCCACAGGTACAACATGTGGGAGACGCAGGTAGTGGGGTAGAAAATACAACAGTATCACAAAACTTTACCAGTTAAATGCTTAAAACAAACTGGGAATTGGGTTGGAAACTACGTACATCATCTTACTATTCAAATGAGATCTTAGAAGAATTATCTACTGTACAATCAGACAGGAAATAAAAGCAGGAGCAACTTCCTAAACTCTATTTGTTGGCAAATACCAAGTCTACAAACCTAGTACTCATTCTAGGATGAGAGTAGGAAAAAACCATAAGAAACTCTGTGGAAAAAAAATCTATAACGATTTGAGGAAAAGCGTGAACTTTAGAAATAATTGGTTATAGGAAACAGAAGAAAAACATTGTTATTTAGAAAACTATTTGGTATCTCACAGAATGAAACAAGACGGACCTGAATTAAAGAATTCAATATAGAAAAAGAAAAAAGATAAAATGGGAGAAAGAATGGGATGATGGAAAAATAAAAACATTAGAATTAAGAAACCTGGGCTATCTAGTACCAAAGCCCATTGCAGAAAATGAATATGTGATAAGATATTGAATACGACCCACAAAATTTAAAGAAAAAGCTTGCCAATCCCTGTTCTTTACAGGAAAAGTTTGCCAACTCTTGCTCAAGTCTCTTGCTTTTCCTTTACTTATAGTATTTATTAACTGACATCTCCCAGCTTAAAGGCTCAAATAAATGTACTCTAAATTCCTTGTTGATATGACAAGCTAATAAAAACACTTCATCTTCTAATAAAATTAGTTCAAATCAAACTAAAACCTTATATACTGTTTTTGATTGAATTACAGCCAGTTTAAACTAAGGTATTCCAGTTCCAAGTTCAGTATTCTTTATGCTGTAAGACATCTTTCAGTTTATATGCTTTCCCCTTACCTATCTGTGGTAAGTAGAGCCAGGCTATGAACATTCTGTTTTTCATTTGCATGTTTATGCAGTTCATCAATATAATCCATAAGTTTCCTTTCAGTTTGCTCAGCTTTCCATCTCTTTTCTCTCTCTTGGTCTAGCTGTTCAACAAGAGACTGAAGAAAAACAACACAGTTATATGAACTTGGAAGACTTACCTAACTTCTCACTGCCTCAATATTCTCATTCATAATATAGTACTATTCATAATAGTACCTCTTTAAAGATCTGTGGTGAGGAGTAAGAAAATTAATGGAAGTAAAGCATATAGAATCGTGCAGAATAATGCTTGGAACATAATAACCACTCAGTAAATGTTAGCTATTATTGTCATAATGATAATTATTATTTTTCTCAATATTAAAGCCTCCATAATTGAGAATAAGGGGAGGAAACCAGTAGCCTGACAGGTGTGAAATATTTTGAAAGATAATTCTATTACCGAAAGAATAGTACACAGTACAATCAAAAGAATAACTATTATTTCAACAAATGAGGGCAAGTTAATGAGAAATATAAAATAATGAATCAACATGTACTAAGGTTTCTCAACATAAGAATTGTTAAAGCAAATATTGAAGAATTTTTATTTTATTATTATTTTTTTTTTAGAGACAGGGTCTCATTATGTTGCCCAGGCTGGTCGCCTTGAACAGGCTGGCCTCTAGCGAGCCTCTCACCTCCACCTCCCAAAGTGCTGGGATGACAGGCATGAGCCATTGTGCCCAGCCTGAGGAATTTTTACATTCTCGAACACTTCTTAATCTGGGATCCACAGGTCTAAAATTCAGTTTCAGGAGAGTCCATGAATACCTTGAAATTACATATAACATTTTTTGAGTGTATGCAAAAATATATTTCTTTGAGGAGGAGATCTGTGGATTTCCTTAGATAATTACAAGGGTCTAACATCCAAAAAAGGTAGTAACCACCACTTTAAGAAGTAAAAATTTAGAAATTTAGAACTGTTTCTCCCTCCACAAGCATGCAATGAATGACTTCACTTAAAACTGATCTTAAATAAATGTGCAATTTCTATTTCTTTAAAAATTACAAAAACAATAGTATTACACAAAATCTGGACACAAGGAAGGGATTCTCATCACTCCAGTAACATTACAAACAATAATTTTCCTCATAAGAACATGAATGATTTTTCTGGGACTTTGTGTTTAAAACTAGGATTATTCACATTGATTTTTTTTTCTTCATCTTATAAATCATACCCGGTAAGTATTGTCTTCTGAGCCACTTCTGTCTACTTTAATCATTTCAGTCTTTGGCTCTTCTAATTCTTGTAATGTATGACAGTTTGCTAAAGATGATCTTACATATAAATCTTTAAAGTAAGGTTGTTTCATTCTACGATTACAACTGCAAAGAATAAAACATATGAAATATGGTAAACCAGAAGCCAGAAAGGTGCATACATCTGAAAGTACAGTGTTTATACTGCTTTTATCTAACATTTATAGTCATATATGTAAACAGCTTTTAAAAAAAGGATATTTATTAAATAAAACAATAGAAGCTTAGACAAACTATTTTATAAATTTTATAATGGTTGTGCTTTGTTGATTAACGAGTTCCTCAAGATTTTAAAAAAGATAATCAATATTCAGCATTCAACATATTCAGGTAGGGTAGATTCTTAGATAAATCAGAATAATTTGAAAAGTATTCTAAGTATTCAGGACTATGGTGATATGACACCCAAGAACTTAGAAAAATATAATTACCCTTTGTGAATTAAAAATTTTAAATCAACACATTTTAAACTTTTAAAATCAAAGTAAATAAATTGTATAGATTATATAAATAGGCAAAGACCAAAGAGATTCCAGGCTATTTGCTGCCCATAAGTGAAATGAATGACTGAGTGTGTGTGTTGTGTATATATATATATATATATATATAAAAGCATAATTGGGTAGTCATGGAAGAATTAAAACAATTAACAACAAAATAAATTTTAAAAAGGAAAGGAGAATTACAGAGGCAAAAGCTGACGATACCTATCCCAGAGTAGTCACTGGTGATCTTAATTGTGAAAATACAGATAACATCAGAGTTTTTTATACTGATGGCATTAAACACAACCATCTTATTCATGTTTTATCCTAAGCTCAGTAAATACCATCTGACTAGGTCTTGGGTTCCCACTGAGATATGCCTACAGAGAGAGAAAAAGCTAGTCATGTAGACTCAAGTGTATTCATTTTATTCCCACTGTAAATGAATGCAGTGAAATTTTAGTTTTATATATTCACAGTTTAGGTAATAGAGAAAGAGATCGTTTATATAAATTTGTATGAATATACTGACCAAATCTCAGCCAACAAAGCTAAAAAGTCAAATCTTTGACTTTAGTAAATAAATATCATGAGATAACTTTAAGGAATATGCCAAGCCATATTAACTTCCGTGCCTTATTTTAATTTCTATAACTAAAATAAGTACCTTACAAAAGAGTTGTAGTTTTTACTGTGATGCTTAATAGTTTGAATAGTTTTGTTGTAATATGGGATTTTCGATCTCCGAGGAACTTTTCTATTGCATTCTTTTCTGTTTCCAGAGTCACTGTCAGAAGTTATATCTGTGTCTCTTTTTGGTCTGAGGTCTTTCTCGGGAACATTATCTATTGAATTACAAGTCTAGAATAAAAAAACCAACAAAGTTTGTTAAAAGTTCAATTCAGTATAAAAAGATTAAAAGTGGAAATTTCCTAAATATCATGACTTTTTATAAGATTAAGGGTTTATAAACTAGAAATGTTTGAAATTAAAAACAGGGAATTTAGCTTCTGGTATGACAAAGCAAGCTTCTGCCAGGTTTATTTTCCTGCAGATAATGATTATAAATTCTGGGAAAAATACAAACCAAACTAAACCAAATCAAGCAAAAACTACCTGAAGGCCCTGGAAGTGAAGACAAGTAAGATCATTCTATAGGGGAGCTGACACTTGGAAAAATGAACCAGAAGGGGGTGTTTCTGTTTTTAGCCTGAGAATGTATCACAATCAGCACCATGCAGGGAGTCTAAATCTCAGGTAGGAAAAACCAGACTTTTGGGTCTGAAGAACCAGACGGCAATATGGGGTAGAATCAGACTGTAAGAAGCCCAGTAAAAGAAAAGAAATAAAATGAAATTTGATTTGCTGCTTAAGACAAATTTGTAGTTTGAGTCAAACCAAGTTAAATGTTTGCTAAAACAAAAATGTTAACCCTTGAGAAACTATGACAGAATCTAGAGTCTCCCCAATGCAACACTGGCAATGTTCAGGATGCATTCCAAAATTACTTACTATAGGAAGAACCAAGAAAAAAATGACCTATTCTCAAGAGAAAAGGTGATCAATGAAGATCAAACCTGAGATGACCAAATGTTTGAATACGCAAGCAAGAACTTTAAAACAGTGATCATAACTATGCTCAATGAGATAATAAGAAAATATGCCTGTCATAAATGAAAAGATAAAGAAACTCAGCTCAGAAATAGAACCTATACACAAATGAAAAATACAATGTTCAAAGTAAAAATTAACAGGGATTAACAATAGAATGAGGAGTAACAGTAGAATAAGGATTAACAGTAGAATAAGAAGTGAACTTCAATATGGGGAAATTATTCAACATGAAAAATACAGAGAAATAAAAGTTGATAAAATGTACAAAGCCTTGGGGATAACATCAAAAAGTCTAAGTTGAATCTGAAAGAGAGAAGAGAATGAGGCAAAAAAAAATATTTGAAGAAATTATGGCCAAAAATTTCCAAGTTACGTAACGACATAAATTTATAGATTCAAGAAGCTCAGAGAAACCCCAAGCAGGATAAACATGAAAAAAAACCATCCTTAGGTACAATGCAGCGAAAATAGTAAAAACCAAGACAAATTCTTTTTTTTTTTTAAACCAGTAATTTATTTTCTTGAATTTTGGGGGGTGATTTTCTTTTTCTTTCTTTTTTTGTATTTCAAGAAAATATGAGAGTACAAACATTTTGGTTGCATTTAGTATCTTTGCCTCTTCCTAGCAAGGGTTAGAGGTATGCCCTTCCCCTCCATAATGCTCACTGCATTCCTCAGATCTAGGTCTACCCCCGCCCCAATCCCTGGTGAACACCACCACCATTTGAGCACCATAGTGTTCATCAGCAAAGACAAAGTCTTGAAAGCAGCCAAAGAAGAATGGCACACTACATACAAAAAATCAAGGATTTGAATTAATGCTGATTTTGCACTCAAAACTGTGGAGGCCAGGAGATGGCACTGAAAGAAAAAACTGTCAATCTAGAATTCCATATCCAGCAAAAATGTCATCCAATAATAAAGGTAAAATAGAGACTTTACTGCCTATAAATGTACACTGTAAGAATTGCTAAAGGAAGTTCAGGCTGGAGTCCTGGCTGAAGGAAAATAACACCAGATGGAAACTTGAATTCTCAGGAAGAAATAAAGAGCATGGCATATGATTTATATTGGGGTAAATACAAATGATGTTTAGATATTTTTCCTCTTAATTTCTTTAAAGGAAAAATTAAAACATTGTTTTGTGGGGTTTATAATACATCAAAATGCAATATACAACTAACAAAGTAAAAGAGATGAAAAATTTCCTCATTTTACATTAAGTGATATAGTATTAACTCTAAGTAGAATGTGAAGCATCTTTTTTTAGAGTAACCAAAACAAAACTTAGAGAAATATGACTAAAAATCCAATATATAAATTAGCATTTAATTCTAAAAAAAATTCAACAGAGGGTAGGAAAGGAAGAAAAATGAATATAAAACAGAGACAAACATAAAACAATAAAATGGTAGAGCCCAATCCAACTTCATTAATGATTTTAGTAAATTTTAATGGATTCTTCAAAAGGAGTGATGGCCAGATGAGATTTAAAAACAAGACCCACTTTAGAGACACAAACAGGTTCAAAGCACATTTATGCCCCAATGAAATACCATTTTACACCCATGAGGATGGCTATAATCAAAACAACATATAATGAATGTGGAGAAACTAGAACCTCATAATCTGCTGGTGGGGACGTAAAATGGTATAATGTCTTTGGAAAATCTGGAGTTCCTTTAAACATTTGACTCAGTAAATCTGCTTCTAGGTATATAGACAAGAGAAATGAAAACAAATGTTCATATAAAAACTTATACATAAATATTCATAGCAATATTATCCATCATAATAACCAAAAAGTGGAGGTTACTCAAATGTCTACCAATTGATGAAAGGATAAACAAAATGTATAGCCATACAATGAAATATTATTTGGCAATAAAAAGAATGAAGTATTGATATATACTGCGACATGGATGGACCTTGAAAATATTATGCTAAGTAAAAGAAGCCAGTCAGAGAAGCCACATATTAAATAATTTCATTTATATAAAATGTTCAGAGTGGGCAAATCCATACAGGAAGAAAACAAATTTGTGGTTGCATAGGGTTAAAGGTAGAGGTGGAAGGGAATGGGTAGTGACTGCTAATGGGTATAAATCATTGAACTGTGTACACTTCAAATGTAGGAATTGAATGGTAAGTGAATGATATATCTCAATAAAGCTGTTACTAAAAAAAGTAAATAGATGGAAAAATATTTATTATGCAAATTTAAGCATAATAAGACTAGAGTTGATAAAATACATCAGATAAAATGGACTTTAAGATTCCCAGAGATAAAGAGAAACATTTCATAATAATAAAAGGGTCAGTTCACCAGAAAGACCAAACAGTCAAATGTGTATGTGCTTAATAACAGAGCTTCAAAATATAAGCTGCAAATGTTGAAAAATTAAAGGAAGAAACAGACAAATCCATGATCACAGAGATTTTAATGCCTCTCACGCAATTGAGAGAACTAGATCAATCCTCCCCACTGTCAAACAAAATAATACCTTGTCAGCAACCAATAGAACCAGACAAAAAAAAATCAGTAAAGACACTGATCACCTGAAAATACTGTCAACTGTCCTCACTTAATAAACACTCTTGAACATCCACCTAGAAAGACCATATGCTGGGTTATAAAATAAATCTCAATAAATTTAAAAAGACTGAAATTATTCAGAATATATTCTCTAAACAAAATGGAAGTAAATAAAAAATCAAATACTAATAACATATCTATAGAAACACAAATATCTGAAAATTAATAAAAGACATTTTAAATTATTCTTTGGATTAAGGAATTACAAAGGAAATAAGAAAATATTTGTAACTAAATAATAATGAAAGCAAAACATATCAAAACCTGTAGAATGCAGCTAAAGCAGTGCTTAAAGGAATATTTACTGCTTTAAATGATTATATCAGAAGATAGGTCTAAAGTCAGTGACAAGTGCTTATATCAAGAGGCTAGAAAATGAAAAACAAAGTAAATTCAAAGTAAGTAGAGGGAAAAATAATAAAAAGCAGAAATCAATACAGAAACATATAGATAAAAGTAACAAAGCCAAATGTCAGTTCTCTGAAAAGATCAACAAAACCTCTAGCTAAACCGATCAAGGCAAAAATTAAAAGGAAAAAAAAAGATGAGAAAGACATAGATTGCCAGTATCAGTATTGGAAGTGATTTTCATTACTGATCCTACAGAAATTAAAAGGACAGTAAGGGAATATTAACAATTTTTTAATGTTGACAATTAGGTGACATGGACAAATTGAGAAACACAACTTACCGAAACTGAAAGAAAAGAGTTCAGAGCTAGATTCTACAATTTGTAAGGTCATTTGATTTTTTTTTTCAACAAAGACATTAACTAATCCAGTGAAAAGTCTTTTAACAAATGGTACTGGGATAACTTCTAAATTATATGTACACAGATCTAAATGCAACAGGTAAAACCATAAAACTTTTAGAGAATAACACAAGAGAATGTTATCTGGGGATACACAAAGGTTTTTAAAGTCACAGAAAATAATAACCATAAAAAATAGGTAAATTGGACTCCATCAAAATTAGAAACTATTGCTTATCAAGAGACTATTAAGAATATGAATATATGACCCATAAATTGGGAGAAAATAAACACAAAAGATATATTTGATGAAACTGGTATCCGGGATATATGACAAATTCCTACAGCTTGATAATGGATAAACAATCCAATAAAAATATGGGCAAAAATTCTGGACACTTCACAGAAGATACATGGATCTTCAATAAGCACATGAAAAACTGTTCATCATTAATCATCAATGAAATGCAAACTAAAATCAGAACAAACACCAGTACATAACCACTAGAATGGGTAAAAAAAAATAACATTGATGAGGTTGTAGAAAAACTGCAACAATCATTCATTCATTGTCAGTGGGAGTAAAACAGAACAGTTTGAAAAAAGTTCTGTCGATTTCTTATAATACTAAACATACATCTACCCTATAACCCTGAAATTGTACTTTTAGCTATTTACTGAAGAGAAATAAAGATACATGTTCACAAAGACTATACAGTAATATTCACAGCAGCTCTATTCATAAACCTAGAATAACCTAGTGATACATTAATAGGATAATAAAGAAATTATGGTATATCCATATAATACTATGGAATATTTTACACAAAAATAAAAAACAATTGATAAATAATATTAATTTTAAAATGATTATACTGAGTGAAAGAAGCCTTACACAAAAGAACACTTTCTACATAGATTCCATGTATATTAAAATAATCTATGGTAGAAAAAGTCAGAAAAGTAATAGCCTCTGGAGGGCTTGAGGAGGACTGCTTGTGGGAGGGGACACGTTGGAACATTCTGGGATGATGGTAATATTTACCTTCATAGAAGTTTGGGTAACAGGTATATGTATTATCAATTCAGGAAATACACACATATGTATTTTACATCAAAAGAAAACACTGTTAAAAAACACTGAACTCTAGTTAATGATATCCAAGCTTAAGTATTTAGGGAAAAATGTTCTGATGTGTACTAATTTAACTTTGAAATGTGTCATAATATAGTTTGATGGGCAAATAAATAGGTATATGAAATAAGTATAAAATGTTAATGGTAGATTCTAGTTAATTGTTGGGTATATATTGGTAGCCACTAAGAAACTCTCAAATTTACTGAAGAATGAAAATGTTCATAATGAAATGTTGGGAAAGAAATAAAATTAGAGGCAAAACAGCTTTTTGCAGAGAATTTCCCAAATAGTGGGATAATTATGATTTTTAAGTCCCATGATTAAGGAAAATAAAATTTCCTTATTATAGTACAGCACATTTTCCATCTTATAATGACTTTACTTATAAATTCATACTTTTGAAATAAAATCATTTGAGTGTATACATAGCTCAAATAAAATTCAAATTGCATGTTTAGTTTTTATACCAAGTAAGGGAGCAAATAAGAAGTCTTTTCTTAAACATTTTTAATATGCACAGCAGTGAATCACCTTTCCTGCCAGACAGCTAGACTCCTATTCTTGGCTAACAAAGTAGGAAGAATTGTCACCGAATGAATAGCAGCCAGCCATAGTGAAAAGAGTATGATTGGATATCATAAGATTTAAGTTTGAAGCTCAACCTAAATAAAGTATCTTACAAATGTCATTTAAACTCCCAGGTTTCTTTCCATAACAAGGACAATAACATATTAACCTTGTCTACTTGATTGTCATGAGATGAAATGAGAATAGGCCTAAGAGAAACTGAAAGTTGACTTCAAACTTAAATTACTAAGCCTAAGTCTAAGTTCTGACATTGGTAGAAGAGTCAGTCATTAGAAAATGGAAAATAAAGCCAAGGAATGGAGTCATCCAAAAGTTCAGCCATATGGTATCAATGAGGTCAAAGAATATATTCTCCAGGATTCTTGTCTCAGTTCTATTACCAACAACTTATATAGCTCAATTGAAACTCCTAGGGATTTCTGATACAGAGACTCCTCATATCCTTATTCACTCACTCATCTAAGGCAGACTCCTTGTTTATGCAGCATGTGCTTAAATATTATATATAAGGAAATAGTTCAAGATTAAAAACCCATGAGCCATAGACATTCAATAAGCATTTCCACTTCCTCCTCCTTATTTTGAGAAAAGAACTTTGAGTATTAAAATGTACTCACAAATTACTAGGTCAAACTAACATTTGACTAATAGCCTCTCTGACCTATACCACTATCTTTCTATCCTAAACCCAGGTAGAAGGCAAACAGAGTAATAATCCACTGCAGTCAGGCAGGTGTGTTGCCTAGGAAAACAACCATCACTGTGGATCAGAGCAAGAATGCTGGAGCGAGGGTTAGACTTGAACAGCAGTAAATTCTAGGAATCGTAGTTCATTCACTCAGTTCACAGACTCTAAAAACCAGATAATCAATAGTAGGGGTAAAAAACGGATTAACAGCTCAGGAAAGGAGAGATTAGTTAGGTGGTGGTCTACTGGAAACCAAATTGAAGCAGAAACTACGGAAATTAACTTGCCATTCAGCTAAAAGTTTGAGAAGTGGTGTTAACTATTGAACAATTGAAGAGACAGTAGAGGCCAGAAGTAAACTCAAGTATCTATTGTGCTAATAAACAAAGAGTTCTCAGCTTGCATAAGGTTGAAATAAAAGGTGGGTGGAGTGGAAGTAATGTGAATTATTGCAGAACAAGACAAAGAGATTAGACAATAAAGATGTAAAGAAAGACAAGGAAAATGAGTGAAAAGTGTATGCTACCTTTTTCTACCACTACTACTATAATAGAATCCTATTTCTGTAAACGGAAAAACAAAAATACATAAATGGATGCATTCAATATAGATTGTTTTAGTTAACTTGTACATAATTTTTATTTTACGTTTTTAAATATTTTTCTTCAAAAAACATATATTGCTTTAGAAAAGTAGGAAAAATAGTTACTTCATTGAGAAGCTGTAAAATTTGATTATCTAATTTCTGAAGTTTCATCTCATTCTGAAAATCGCTTTCATGATTAATTTTCTCTGGCTCTAAAGATGGACATTCAGATATAAAAGATGGCAAAACAGTGTCTGTTGGTGTACTTGCAAACTGCTCCAAGGGAGCCAACTCATCGATGGGTGCTGTTACCACCGGCATACTATCAATGACCTATGACATAGAAACAAATGAAAATCTTTTTAATTTCCATTCATTTATTAATTACAACTTGAAGGTATCTTTTACCTTAGGAAAAAATCAATACTGTACCTCATCTTCACTTATATTGAGGGGAGAATCAGAACAGACTAAATTATCCAAAAGACCTTCTAAGCTCTGCAGGCATGATGAATTTATTTCTGTTGTATTTACCATTTCACCAAATATGTTCTTACAATCTAGGATTCTAAGCTGTGGCAAAGTCTGGAGAATAACTCCTCTGTACCCTTGGAAACAAATCATTCAAAATGAAAACTTAAACATTAAAGAAAAAGGCGATTATTTCTAGAATAAACTAAATTTATCAGCTACCAGATATATTACCTGAATGCTAAAATTAGTTCAAGAAATCAACTAATAAACTTGTAATAAATGCTACTTATTCAATTCCTCAAGTATGTAATCATTAAACATAAACGAAACAAAATACTCTCTCCACCCCTTTTTGATCCCTGCTGAAGGTTAAAAAGTTAAAATCTCCATCTCTAAAAATTTAGAGTTATAAATGCATGAAACCAGTAATAATTGTAGTCTGGGAAGGAAGCTAAACATATCTTTTATTTTTAATATGATTAGTATAAACATAAATAATATATACAAACATGAAGCACGATGATATGAATAATGATCAAAGTGCCAGAATTTCCCTAGTGAGGTTTCAAGAATTAGTAAAGCATTGTCTTTAAATTACACATAACTAATACTAAGACAGGTAATCTATCAAGTATTAAAGAATAATATGTTTCTCTTGTTTGAGTTGGTGTTTGGATATTACAAAAAAAAAAGGAATAACGTGTTTATTTTCCCCAAGGGTAATTAAATATGAGAAATCTGACAAATTAACAATAATTTGGTGGTTAGGCTAAAAAGAACACTGTGATTCTGCATGTATGTAATTTTAAAACTAAGTATTTCTAACAAAGACCAATTGAGTGGTTGTAAGAACTCCAAAAGAGAAAATAAGTATTAGAAATTTTCAGGGAAGATAAGTTATTTCAGCAATAAGTTTCCTCTCAATTCTGGAGGGTGACTGTATTGAAAGAAATATCTAATTTAGGAAAGAAAGTGAAAAATAAAGATTCAAGTTGTAGAAACTAGAGGTTATAGAAACAAATTTGTTAGGGAAAAAAAAAAAATTGAACCCAAGGGTTAGCAAAGAAAAATATAAAATTTAGGAATAAAGTTTCTTCTAAGAAAAAGGTTTCCCCAGAAAATTCAAACCTGTCCTGATTTGCAGGGAGACTTCATCGTTATATGATCTTAGGAAAGTAATTCTCAAGTATTATATTTTCTTCTGTGAAGTAAAATGATCAAAACAGGTTTCCATGCTGTGAAAAGTTGCCTTCTGGTTGCGTGTGAAAAACACAATGGAGCTTCTGTGGCCAACTTGTACTCTAGATTTTTTTTCTCCCTGTAGGTTATTTAGTTTCCTGCAGTGTTCCGAGCAGATCTTTAAAATGTATGTTCACATTTTACACATTTCTCTTGTTTAAGCAATATGAGATAAGTGAGTTCTAGAAAAGCTGTCTAGTCTGTTTTCTTTGCTAACCTGAATGATTCTAAATTGGATCAAACAGCATTTCAGCAGCAGCATCTATATAAAGTTTAAGCTTTTTTTAAAAAAATAATTTATTACTAATATAATAAATTCACACGGCATAAAATTCAAAAGAAACACAGTAAAAAGTTTCTCCAGCATTTCCTGATCTCCAGTTACCCAGTTCCTTTTCCTAGAGTTAGTCAATATTATTGGTTTTTGGTATAGTCTTCTAGATGTTTTCTGTACATACTCAGCAAATACATTGTTACTCTTTTGACACAAATGGTAGCCTATTATATGCAATATTTTTCAATTTGCTTTTCTTTCTCTTAATATATCTTGGAGATAAATGTCCATTAGTAAAGAGAGTTTATATTCTTTTTTATGGCAGCATATATTGTATTAGAATATATCATAATAATATAATTTAATTTTGAGGCATTCACTTATGAAATATAAAACTGTTCAAATGGGAGAACTACTGATCTGTTCATCCTGCGCTCTTTTAAAGCTATTTTTTAATAGTTTCTATTAATAAACTAGTTTATTTGTAATCATGTTTTCCCAAATACATAATAAAATGCTACAAAGCTTAAGACTAAAATAAAAGGAGATCATAACACCACTTTCAGAAAACTAAAGAGCTTTGGATATTAACTGTTACAAAAAGTATTAATTGTTCATACCTGGTAGACGACAGACAGGATTATCATCTCCACCTTTCTCCAAAATAAGATTGGTCAAAAAGTGTAATCCTACTGTACACTGAAGTAAGTGATGAATACTATCTATACAATTACTATGTAGGTCAAGATATCTAAGTTTATGCTTAATTCCATGAAGGGGGATCAACCCTGCAATAAGAAAAAAATTCTCTAGATGACACAGCAGACTTTTTGATAGCTAATTAAAAATAACTGTTACATAAGTTATAATTTAAGAGGCCAAGGAGTAACATTAATAAGACCTTGGTGTGAATAGCTACAATATGATATCAGTAAAGTTAATTGTTGTTTTGAAGAAACACAGGTTTAGCATTTCTGAGGCCTTAGCCCAGAGGTTCCTGGGCTCTGGTTCTCTCTTCAAAACAAAACAAATCAAAAGAACCTTCCCAGTTCAATGCATGCACTTATATGCAAACAAGCATAAATCAATGGCTTTAGGCTCTCTCAACATATCACTTTGATTAGCAGGCACAAGCAAATGCTGTATTCCACTTCAATTTTGTTGGTTTGAATATAGAATAAATACAAATAGCACTCATTTAATTTAGTTCTCTAGGAATATTTCTTGTGTGAGCTTATCTGAGCATTTGATAGCAGATACTATTGGTGCCTGGCCCACCTAAGACTTCAGCTATAGCTGTTGTGGATAAGTGCTATGTACAAAACAGAGAGAGCTTGTTGAGCAAAGGTATGGCCTGGAAAGGTGAGGGAGTTAACACCTGCAGGGGCTCTCCTCCATCTCCTCCATCAAAGGTGACTTGTTAATGGGCAAATGCCCCAGTTTCCTTTCTTTCAGCAGGGCTATACTGACATGCACTCTACATTGTTCCTCAGAGGGTACTACATATTTTACAATTTTGCTTAGTTTAGCACTTTCCATACTCAAAATTACTTACCTTTTTTTCAATTTCTTTAACCTGCCTGGAAGACCGTTTTTTGCTCAATGCCCTTTGGCTAACTTCCACTCATCTTTCTGTGACATCCTCAGACAAATCTTTTCTGACCATTCTCTATGAGGTCTGATCGTTCTGTCTTCCTCATTATACTCAGCATTTCTCCTTAATTAACCATCACATTCGTAAGTCCTTGTTCCATGTTACTGTTTCTTTCTCTTATGTTTTAATTTTATGGTCCTCTTGCACTTAAATTTTAGAGTAACCCAGTGCTCATTCCTAGGTCCCCTTCTCTAACTACACACTCTCCAGAATCTATTTTATGGTTACAAATACCATTGCGTGCTTTTAAATGCCAAGTCTACAATTCCAACCATGACCCCCTAGCCCCAAACTGCAGATTTCATAAGTTTGGGGGTATTTTATAAGTTTGGAAAGTGTTCTCAAATTTAAGATAGGATCCTTAATTCTCATCCTCTCATCTCTAAACCTGCTCCTCTCCCAATCTGTCCCATGGCACTAAACAGTAACATTGTTCACCTGTCAAACCAGAGAAAACTGATAGTTATCTGTGATTCCTCTTTCCCTCATTTTTATCCCAATCCATCAGCAAGTCCTACAGACTCTACCTACAAAACATATCTATTTACTTCTCTATACTATTCCTACCTAAGTCTAGTATCCATCGTCTCTCTTCTAGCCCACTGGAATAGTTTCTTGATCTGAAGCTTGACTTCCACTCCCACCCATATAGAATCAGTAGCCAAAATGATCTTTTAAAAACAATTCTTTCTTACATGGCAAGCCTCATCCTGCCTTAGTCTTTGCATGCTCTCATCATCTAAGTTGCTGTCATTTATTGACGTCTTTATGAATATACAAATTATCATTTTAAGAAGTATCTGTCAGAACTTACAGGGCTGCGTCTTTTATTTTCTTCAGTCTTTATCTTTACCTGATATTAAGTTACTAAAATTCATCCTTTTTAGGTGTAGAGTTAGATGTGTTTTAGCAAATATATATAGTTGTAACTACCACTACAATTGAAATATAGAACATTTCCATTACCCCAAGTTTCCTTTATGTTCCTATGTAATTAATCCTCTCTCCTCATTTCCAGCCCCTGGCAACCAATACCTTTGATTTCTGCCCCTCTAACTTTGCCTTTGTCAGAATGTCATATAACTGGAATCATACAGTGTAGCCTTTTGTGTCTGGCTTCTTTCCCATAGCATAATTCTTTTTAGATTTATGTGTGTTGCTGCATGTATCATTGTTCATTTCTTCTTATTTCCAATTAGTATTCCATTGTATGGATGTATAGCAATTTGTTTATCCATTTACCAGCTGATGGACATATGGGTTGATTTCAATTTTTAGAGATTATGAGTAATCATATAAACATAATCATAATCATATAAAAAGCTATATTAATATTAATAGTATGTAATCACATGAACATACATGTGTAGGTCTTTGTGAAGATATGTTTTAATTTCTCTGGGTAAATACCCAGGAATGGGATTCCGTGATAATATGTAGTGTATGTTTACCATTATCAGCAACTGTATCATTTTGAACTTTATTGGCAACATAAGTTTTAGTTCCTCCACAATCTCACCAATGTTTTGTCAGTTTAAAAAATTTTAGCTATTCTAGGTGTGAAGCAGTATCTCATTGTGGTCTTAATTTGAATTTCCTTAATCACTAAGGATGATTAACATTTTTTTCTTGTGCTTATTTGCCATTTGTATATTTTCTTTGTGAGGTGTCTGTTCAAATCTTTGTTTATTTTGGGGGGCACTGATATGACTTTGTTTACTTGTTCTTCTTCCTTACCATAATGTAAGCCCTGGGACTTACCCGTTTATTGTTTTTTTCATCACTATAAAACAGTATGTAATATAGTGATCTTCAATAAATATTTGTTGAAAGAATGAACTACCTTATCCAATAGTCACATTTTTCAGATAAGGAAACCACATCCAAAGTGTAAAATACCTTGCTCAACATTACACAGCAATGACAGAGCTAGGGTTGAAACTCAAGTCTTATACTTTCATGTCTCTGGGGTAATAAAGATTTAAAATAATTAAAATATAGTTGCTACTTCAGCTCAAAGGTACAGATTGGGTCTTTTTATTTTTTGTATGCTAAGCAGCTGGCATAGGGTAGTATTTTTTTAGTGGGGGAGAAAAACAAATCAACAAATGAATAAATGGTTTCAAATACTGATAAAGATTATGAAGATAATTAGGGAATTTTGCTAGTTTGAACAGATAATTCTAAGAATAGTCATGAATGTTAAATTTATCAGTTGTATCACTTTAATCAACTAAAAAAATAGTTAATTCTTAAATCTTTTCAGACATACCAAAGACAAAAAGAAAAATAACTTCATTTGTTCTTTAATTTGCAACAGCCTTTGGAATGCCACATAACTGCATTGTTCAATGTGGTAGCCACTAATTATATGTGGCTTTTTATATTTAAAGTGAGAATAAAATTACAAATTTAGTCCCTAAGTTTCACTAGCTATATTTCAAGTGCTCAACAGCCACATTTAGCTATCAGCTAGCATACCAGACAGCACAGATATAAAACATTTCACCATTGTAGAAGGGTCTACTGGAACTATTCCACTCTATATCACAGTACATTGACTAAAGATTAAGATTAAGGCCGGACATGGTGGCTCACACCTGTTATCCTATTACTCTGGGAGGCCGAGGATTGCTCAAGGTCAGGAGGTCGAAACCAGCCTGAGCAAGAGCGAGCCCCGTCTCTACTATAAATAGAAAGAAATTGATTTGCCAACTAATATATATGTATAAAAAAAAATTAGCTGGGCATGGTGGTACATGCCTGTAGTCCCAGCTACTTGGGAGGCTGAGCCAGAAGAATTGCTTGAGCCCAGGAGTTTGAGGTTGCTGTGAGCTAGGCTAACGCCACGGCACTCAATCTAGCCTGGGCAACAAAGTGAGACTCTGTCTCAAAAAAAAAAAAAAAAAGATTGAAACAGTTTTCCCCTAAACTGGGTCCTTCCCATCTGAGTTTTCCCTGCTGCTTTTTTTTTTACTCAACTATGGCTTTGGTACCAACAAAATAAAATTATGACTGAATCATACTTTCTGGATAGTCAGAAACTGGATTACTATTCAGAGATCTCCAACATGCAAAGCTAAATCACGTGACTAACTTTTAGCATTACAGAAAACATAAGCATGTCTACTTACCACTAAGATCACTTATGTGGTTATAAGATAAATTTAGTCTACTCAGATTAATTAGTTCTTCAAGTCCTAAAATAAAATAAAATAAAATAAAACCTTTGTAGGATTTAAAGAATTAGAGAGATATAGCATCACAATATTATTTCAGCCTATCATGAAGAAAAACTAGTTTGGTAACAGTGAAAACAATTTGAAAAAATACTTAGTTTTAAAAGAATTAATACTTTTCTGGAAGAACATTTTGTATAATGAGTTTTAGAGTCAGTTTTCAAAAGTTTATGCTAATATTTATTCCATTCTTTCAGGAAGAAAAATGGACTTAAATCATCTTCCTTATGAAGAATTAGATGAAATATTAGATGAAGTATTAGATGAAAATCACTTACAAACCTTCTATTCTTGTGATCAAATTGCAGGATAAATTTAAAGTGCATAGTTTTGTCAGTGTGTTTAGTCCTTCAATTTGACTTATTTGATTAGATGACAGATCTAAGTGTCGTAAGTTCCAAATGTGATCAATGGCTTCGATCTTGGAGATGTTATTGCAATGAAGATTGATGGCATGAAGGGTTGAATCTAAAGATAATTCTGATATGCTACAAAAGCAAATAGATATTATAAAAAACAAGTAAAAATAGATTTTAAAAGCATGACCAAATAACTAAAATTAACTAAACTGCATATAGATAATAAATGTGCTCTATTCATTCCAGAATGAAATCCTTCCTATTTGTGGTCACTTTGAAATGTCTCATACAACACAGTGCTTCTTACCACAAAAACCAGTATTCTGGACCACTTATATCAACAAGAAACCACTCAAAAGAGAGAAGTGGCTGTGGGCATTTCTAGTTTCTATTTTTAAAATCAACATAGAATGAAGGCAGTATTGCACAGCAGTCAATAATTGTAAAAGGCTCTGGGATCCTGATACCCCAATTAAAATCTGTACTTTACCACTTTTTTGAAATGTTACTTGAGCCAATGTCTTAACCTTTCTGTGCCTCAGTTTCCTTATCTCATTTAATTCTTATAATAACTCTTAGGTAGTAGGTATCATAAGGATACCGAAGTTTACGGAAATTAAATAATTTGTCCAAGTTCTTGCAGTCATTATGTTAACATAGCCCAGGTATAAATCCAGATCTTATACTGGAGTTTATAACCTTACCTTCTTCACTGTCTCCAATGGCTATTTAATCCACAAAGTAGTTGATTTTCAAAAAACCACTAGTTATTGTTATTTCTACTGAAAAAGTTCCTGTCTTCCCTTGTTGAAAGCTGGAATGCACCTCCTCTAAATAGAACTCATCTCTTCACTCCTTATTTTATTTTATTTTATTTATTTTATTTTATTTTAGAGACAGAGTCTCACTTTGTTGCCCAGGCTAGAGTGAGTGCCATGGCATCGGCCTAGCTCACAGCAACCTCAAACTCCTGGGCTCAAGCAATCCTGCTGCCTCAGCCTCCCAAGTAGCTGGGACTACAGGCATGCGCTACCATGCCTGCCTAATTTTTTCTATATGTATTAGTTGGCCAATTAATTTCTTTCTATTTATAGTAGAGACGGGTTTCGCTCTTGCTCAAGCTGGTTTCGAATGCCTGACCTCGAGCAATCTGCCCGCCTAGGCCTCCCAGAGTGCTAGGATTACAGGTGTGAGCCATTGCACCCAGCCACTCCTCAATTATTAATACTACCTAAAAGTGAAACCTCTCTTGAAGATAGTAGTTTCAGGAACACGAATTAGAGTAAACATGATTTAGAGGTGCTGGATGGAGGTACAGTCAGGAACAGAAACAATGTCATGAGCATGTGTGGTGGGTCCTATAGAAGCTATCAGAAAGCTGTAGGAAACCTAAGTCTGGCAGAATAGAAGCGTTTGCAAATTTCAAAACTGCCACCTCTAAAGTGACCAATTGAAGCATTTCCCAATTATCTAGCTTCTGTCATTTAATGAGCTTTTATTTAGTGCCAGACTTTATGCTATTAATGTATGCTCTTAATGATAACCATTTATTTTCTGACACATTTCTGTTTCTGGAAATTAATATTGTACAGATAATGCAGGATAGTAAAAAAAGAAGACAGTGAAATTAGAAATGGGTTTGAATTGGAACTTAATGATCACCAACTGCATAAAGTCGGACAAATTATTTAGATTCTGAGTTTCAGATTCACAATACGTAAAATGAGAAAAACTACTACCTTGCAGAATTGCTGTGAGGATTAGTGATAATATATACAACATGTACACATAGCTGGCATTCAGTAAATGGTAGCAATTACTAAACATAAACGTAAATATTCCTTTGAAAAACATTTTCTTGGGGTCATTTGGCAAATTTCAGATCAGAATTCAGAACAAGATGCTTAATTATCAGTAGCAGGTTCGCATAGAGGAGGAACAGCCGACAAAGGAACAGCATGTGCAAAGGCACAGAAAAGCTTACTATGAAACTGCTTGTAGCTCAATACGGCTAACCTTAGAGTATAACTGGAGAAATGGTAGGAGTAAACACTAAAGAGACAGAAAGATAGGCAGAGAACAATCAGTAATTCGGAATAACCTCACAGGCCATGCGCAAGTTTGGGGCTGCAGAGACAGGAAAACGGCGAACTAAATATAGTAGGTTTAATACTTGCAAAAACTATATGAGTTCCCGTATTATAGTGCTCTGTAAAAGAAATCAGAACGGGGGTAAAGAGAACTGAGGCAAAACCAATGAGGAGCAGCGATACTAACGCTGCCACTTTTTTTTCAAGGTAGGAGGAGAAGCAGAGGAGAGACCAGAGAACACGAGAAGACCAACAATGAAAGAGCAAGCCAAGGAATAATAACCAGTTAAGACAGGAAAACCAGCAGAAGGAAGAGTGGTCAGAGACTGGTGAAGAATCGGGTCGCGGAGCAGTTTCAGTGCTAAGCGGCGCCGTGGGCAATGCCAGGCAGAAGACAAGGGCGGGAAGGGACGCAGGGCTCATCAACCTGGCACTTGGGCAGGGCAGTTTTGGCGGCGTAGGGCGGCCGAAAGCCAGACTGCGCGAGTGCACGGTCTTGGCCGGCAAAGCAGCTTCGCGCCTCTGCTCCGCTGAGGCCGCCCGCCGCCCACAGCCCCAGGCCTGGGGGTGCGCGGGCCGCCCCAGGCTGTGGAGCGCCCTTTACCTCCGCAGGCCTTTGTCCATGAAGCATTTATCTCCGCAGCTGCTGACGCCGTCCTCGTTTTCAACTTCTGCCTCCACCGCCGCCTCCATGGCACTAGCGACGGGGAGTGCGGTCTTAACCGGCGTCCAGCGCTGGGCCCGGGAGTCCGGAACACGCCTCCCGAGAGCGAGGAAGGGCGGGCCGGGGGGGCGGGGCTCGAATCCCGTCTCCAACCGACAGCCGGGCACTTTCCCGCCCAGACGCTGCCGCAAAGCCAGAAGCCTGATCTCCACCAAGGGCTCCCTCCTTTTGCGGCATCTGCGGTACGACTCTTGAGGCTTGCCGTAAAGCGGAGCTTCTTTCTGAGCGTGTTGGGGTTGAGGCGTTAGTGGATTTTCATCGCAGTTTGGTTTTACATACCTTTACATAGACTTACATACGTATAAATTGTTCCCCCACCGGCCGTTGCCCTTCCTGTTGATTCATTAAATATTTGAGGGATGCCTCAAAGTATGTCATTATTTTCCCTGTGCAATGAAGGATAAGATGAAGCCATTCTTGTTCCTGGAAGTGTTCACAGTCCAATGGAGGAGACAGAATTGCCGTGCAACATGACGAATGCACAGGAACATCTAAGCCAACCGTAGAGTAATATGGGTAGTGGGTAAATTTTCTAAAAGGTAGTGATTGATAACTGAGTAGTCCTACTAAATTAAGGGGAGTTTGGGGAAAGAACTGTGTTACAGGTGGCAAAACAATACTTGTATAAGGTCGAAGAACTGCTGGCTAGCTTGTTTCCTAAGTCATGGTAATTTTAAAAAAATGAAGGCACAAGGTACACCAGTCCACCCTTATCTTATAGGGATTCCAAGACCCCTCCAGTGGATACTTGAAAGTGCAGATAGTACTGAACCCTATATATACTATGTTCTTTCACACACATACCTATGATAAAGTTTAATTTATAAATTAGACACAGTAAGAAACTAACAATAACTAATAAAATAGAACAATATACTGTAATAAGAATGTGAATGTCATGTGTCTCTCAAAATACCGTCTTGGACTGTACTCACTCTTTTTCTTCTTCTTTTTTTTTTTTTTGAGACAGACTAAAGACAGGCTCTCTCTGTTACCCAGGCTAGAATGCATTGGTGTCATTATAGCTCACTGCAACCTCAAATTCCTGGGTTCAAGTGATTCTCCCGCCTAAACCTCTGGAGTAGCTGAAACTACAGGCATGGGCCACCACATCCAGCTGATTTTTCTATTTCTGAAAGAGAATGGTCTTGCTCTTGCTCAGGCTGTTCTCAAATTCCTGGCCTCAGGCGATTCTCATGCAATCCTTCACCTCCTCCCACCTTGGCCTCCCAAAGTGTTAGGGTTACAGGTGTAAGCTTCTGCACTTAGCCTCTTCTTTTTCTTTTATTTATTTTTGGAGACAGAGCCTCGCTCTCCTCTTCTTTTTGTGATGATGTGAGATGATAACCTAAAAAGCTAGGTAACTAATGGGCAGGTAGCATATACTGTGTGGCCACACTGGACAAAGGGATGATTCATAACCAGGATTGGAAGGAGTGGAGAAGTTTGAGATTTCATTAGTCTACTCAGAACTGTATACAATTTAAAACTTATAAATTGTTTATTTATGGAATTTTCTATTTAATATTTTTTGGATCACAGTTGACTGCAGGTAACTAAAACTGCAGAAGGCAAAACTGCAGATAAGAGGGAACTACTGTATATCTCAGATCTGAACCTGTCACTATCCTGAACTAAAAACTTCAATGGCTCCTCATTAAGAACTTAAAAAAAGCACCTAACTTTTTTCCTTTAAAAAATTTTTCAGACAAAAATTATTTATTAAATACTTGTACATAGCATTACCATGCTACATTAGGCTACCTATCTTATTGTTTATACATAATGTGGAAAAATTTAGGTTACTATGCCCAAAAAATCTTAAAATTAATTTTGAGTATAATCTGATTTGATAGTTGGTATTTTATATTAAAAGTCTTTTACTTTGTATATTTTCTTTGTAGTTCATTCAGATGAACTACAAAGTCATAGTCTAATTATTTTATTCGATTTTATAAATTTTGTTTCCTAGCTTTCAAATCTAACATTGAATATATTTCTAGGCTTAACTGCCATTAATTGAGGTATACCTACCATATTCTGAAACTCATGGCCACAATTTATTGTTTCCTATGACCACATGCTTTGCACTGTTTGCAGCTCCTTCCAACAGAAGGTGGGAGTGGAATCTACTTATTGGCTCTTAGATTCTGGGCTGGTTGGTGACTTTTTTGGCTGTAAGGATGTGTTGTAAGTGGTGGTGTGCTAGTCTCAAGATATTCCCTCAAGACACCTTGCATGCTGTGGTCCAAGATGGCCTAGCCAAAATTGGAATAAGCCCAGGCTAGCTGGCTAGAGGATGAGAGACTCCATGGAACAGAAATAAGACCCCTGAGTTAATTTGGGCTACTATTATATAACCAAATACCACAGCTTGAGTAGCTTATAAACGACAGAAATTTATTCTCATAGTTCTGGAGGCTAGAAGTCAGAGATCAGTGTGCCAGCATGGTAGTAGTTCTGGTGAGAGTACTTTTCTGGGTTATAGGCTGCTGATGTCTCCTTGTGCTCTCACATGACATAAAGAGGTGAGAGAGCTCTATGGGGTCTCTTATAAGGGCACAAATCACATTTATGAAGGCTTCACCCTCATGACCTAATCATCTCCCAAGGGTCCCATCTCCTAATACTATCACATTAGGGGTTAGAATTCCAACGTATGAATGGGGGTATTGGGGGGACAAACAGTTAAGCACACACATCTGCATTCATGAGCCCAGTAGAGACCAAAAGAAGTGCTCGGCTGAACTCAGCCCAAATTGCTAAATCACAGAAACGGGAGCTAACTCTAGAGTTTTTTTTTAAGTACTTTGTAATCTCTGGCCTTGAAAAAATTTGCATTATTTGTGAATTCTAGTTACTTATATATACCATCCCCCCTCACAGACGCACTGTGTCTTAACCTCTCTATGTCAACCTTCATATACAATGTTTCTGTGGTTTGGTTTTTGTTGATGTCTTACTTTATCCATACTATTTGGAGGGTTTAGTAGTTTCCAAAAAATGAATTTTCCAAAACTGAACTTCTTTCAGGAGCACCTACTTCTTAAAATTTAAATTTTGGTGGAATATTTTGTAATATATTTCTTATTATATCCTGCATTTTAAAATTATACCAAATATAATTTAACATATACTTTTTAAAAATAATTTCAGCGTATTACAAGGGTACAAATGTTTTGGTTACATAAATTGCTTTTTTACCATTTGAATCAAAGTTGTAAGTGTTCTCATCCCAGATAGAGTGCATTGTATCCATTATGTATGAATTTACCCATGCGCTCCTACCCCCTTTCTCCTGCTTGATTTCCAATGAAAGTTGTTACCATATGTGCACATAAATGTTGATCGATTAGTTCCAATTTAATGGTGAGTACATGGGGTGTTTGTTTTTCCATTCTTGTGACTCTTCACTTAGGAGAATGGTCTTAAGTTCCCCCCAGGTTAATACAAGAGGTATTAGTTCACCAATTTCTTTTTATGGCCAAGTAGTACTCCATGGTATACATATACTACATTTTATTAGTCCAGTCATATATTGATGGGCACTTGGGTTGTTTCCACATCTTTGCAATTGGTGAATTGTGCTACTGTAAAAGTTTGAGTGCAGGTGTCTTTTACATAGAATGTTTTTTTTTTACTTTGGGTAAATACCCAGTAGTGGGATTGCCGGATCAAATGGTAGTTCTAGTTTTAGTTCTTTGAGGAATCTCCATACTCTTTACTATAGCAATTGTACTCGTTTGCAATCCCACCAACAGTGTATGAGTGTTCCTACAACAACGTTTGTTGTTTCGGGACTTTTAGATAAAAGCCATTTTCATTGGAGTTAAGTGATATCTCTTTGTGGTTTTGATTTGAATTTCCTGATGATTAGAGATGTTGTGCATTTTTCATATGTTTGTTGGCCATTAATTTATCTCCTTCTGTTCATGTCTTTTGCCCACTTTTTAATGGGGTTGTTTGATTTTTTCTTGCTGATTTGCTTGAGTTCTTTATAGATTCTAGTTATCTGCCCTTTCTCAGTTGTGTAGCATGCAAATTTTTTCTCCCATTCTGTAGATTGTCTATTCACTCTAATGATTGTTTCCTGGGCTGTGCAGAAGGTCCCATTTATTTATTTTTGTTGTTGCTGTGATTGCTTTTGGGATCTTCTTCATAAATTCTTTGCCTAGGCCAATGTGTATAAGAGTTTTTCCAATATTTTCTTCTAGAATTCTTACAGTTTTATGCCTTAGGTTTAAGTTTGTTATCCATTGTGAGTTGATTTTTATCAGCAGTATGAAGTGTGGATCGAGTAATATTTTTCTAAGAGGTTACACAATCAAATGTCTGCATAAGTTTGGTCATTGTTAACAAAGACAACAGAAATTTAAGAACGAGGGTGAGAATTGGCTATTGAAGCTGGAAGTAAATTCATTGAAGTCTTCTTATTCTTCTGGGCTATACCTCTACTAAATACTTTATATGCATTAAGTCATCGAATCCATCTAATGACACTAGGAAGTAGGCAATGGCTTAGACATCAATCCATTGTCTAACCTCAGGACCCAAATGTCACTGTTTTCAAATACATGAATGTTTATCCTCAGAGCCACAGTCATATTCTAACTAGACGTTTATCTTGTTTTCATTTTTTTCCCATTATTTTGTTTGAGGAAGAAACTGGGGGAAAGAGGTAAGAGGGTCCTCACTGGATTCATATCTTCAAAGTGAGTTAAGCTTACTAACAATTTAAGGAAAATTTCCTATTCCATGGTAATTTCAATCTTTGGGAAATGTTCAATTGCAGAGAGATCAGTCAAGGCAATTGAGATTGTCTAGACCAGGTGTCCTCAAACTACGCCCATGGGCACATGTGGTGTTTTGCATTTGTTTTTTTACTTTAAAATAAGATATGCTAGTGTGCATAGGAATTGTTCATTGTTTTTTATTTAACTATAGTCTGCCCTGCCCAATGTCTGAGGGACAGTGCACTGGCCCCCTGTTTAAAAATTTGAGGACCCCTGGTAGACTTTCTCTAGTATACTCAAATGTCTAGAACAGAGCTCAACATTCCAAAACTACATAGGGTTGAGCTTCTGGATGTTTGTGCCAGACCACCCTGGTGTGTGTTGTAAATGGGATACAGAATTGGGGAAATGTTGATCTCTTTGTAAGACCTTTAGCCTCCAGGTTGTTT